GCTGCGCATGGCGGGCGCGGCGCGCGTCCCGGACCTCGCGAGCCTGCCGGCCGACCGGCTCGCGTGGCGGCCCGCGCGCCAGTCGCCGCGGTACCTGGCCGCGCGGCAGGCCGAGGACTTTGCCGCCTGGCAGGGGTGGCAGGAGTCGGTGGCGCGCAAGGCGCGCGTGCTCGCGGGCCAGCAGGCCGTGTCGCAGGACGCGGCGCGCAAGAGGAGGGCCGCTCGCAACGCGGCGGCGGCGAGGCTGCAGATCCGGCTGCCCGACGGCGAGGGCAAGACGATCCCCGGGTCCGGCGGCGAGGTGCAGATCGTGGGGTCGAGGGAGTGGGAGGCGCTGCAGGGGCGGCGGGTGGCCGTCATGTAGAGAAGAAGGACAGAGCGGGGGAGGAAAGACGTGGACGAGGGCGGCTTGTAGCATTAATGTGGTATACCCCCCCTTTCTTTTTGACAATTTTCTTATGTGTGAAGAGGAGACAGACAGATGGACATCTGAGATATGTTTGGCGGGCGGTGCAGCTAGAGACAAGAGATATCCAAGGCAAAAAATGTCTTCCATGTACAATTCGTGTGTGTCAATGCATAGGATTGATTTTCTACATGATGGCATCGCTCTTCCGACCCAGGATGATGAGCAAGTCTATCCTCATTCAACGGGAGACGAACGCAAAAAGGTCTCGCATCGTCAACGTGTGCCGTGGCCCCCTCTCCAAACACCCTCGTGAAGCAGCTCTATTTCTTGCCCTTCTTCCCCTTCTTGCCACCGCCTTCTATAGCACCACCGCCGCCACCAGCACCACTCGGTCCCGCGCCGCCCGCCGCCGCCGCCGCCTGCAGCATGCTGGCCATGTCGCCGCCCCCTTGCATCTCCTTCATCATGTCCTTGAACAGGTTCTCCGACACGCCGCCGCCCGTCATGGCGGGGCTGTAGTAGGGCAGCAGCTCGAGCATCTTCCAGCCCCTGGGCACGGCGGGCCGCGGGTACGGCTTGGAGCGGTCGGGCGCGTGGGCGCCGGGGATGCGCTCCCAGAGCAGCGGGGAGTCGGCGCTGACGGGGTTGGCGCGGAGGTACTTGGCCACGAGGAGGTAGAGGTGGTGCTTGTTCTTGACGCTGTGCTGCGGCTGCGCCCCCTGGCTGCCCGCAGAAGAGGGCTTGAGCTCGACCTTGACGCGGCCCGGGTTGGCCCAGTCCTTGGGGTGCAGCTTGGTGGGCTCGTAGAAGACGCGCAGGCGCAGGTGGCGGCAGGCGTCGACGATGGCGCGCGCGAGCGGGTTCTCGACGGCGAGGGAGGACGGGACGCGGCGGCCCTCGGCGCGGGAGCGCGAGGCGTCAAAGTAGCACGGGTACAGGCACTGGAAGGAGCCGTACTGCTGCGGGTTGCGCGTGGTCTGGAAGTCCATGCCCGGGGTCGACGAGGACATCATCTGCTGCTGCGGCTGCTGCTGCGTCGGCTGTTGCCTCGGCCGGTGGGGTAATGAGGAGGGCTGCTGCTGCTGCTGCTGCTGTGGCCTGTCATTGTCGACGCGGCGGATGATGTCGTTGTCGTCAAAGTCGTCGATGTCGCCCTCGGAGGGGTCCGAGATGTCGCTGTCTTCGACCTCCTCTACCCTGGCGTGGGACATGGTGATCTATCAAGCTGGCTTGTGGGTAGCGAGCGAGGAGAGAGCGGGGATTCAGGAAGTGGGAGAGTGTGTCGTGAGGGGTCCGGAGGTCGGACTGGTCGAATTGGTATCGAAGCCGCTCTCTGTGCTCGGTCTCCTGGATTGCCTGGTGGTGGTTGACGTGACGTCTGGCTGGTACTGGCGGGGTAGTGGAAATTCGTCCACAGAAAAGGGTTGGATTTTGACGGTGGGGTCTCGACTTTTCGTGGGCAAGAAAGAAGCTACCCAACTCTTACCAGGCGGACTGTGGGGCAGGCTAATACTCTAATACTTCCCTTTTCTGGAACAGCCTGGATGACTTCAAGTGTTGATTGACCTTTTAGTAGGAAAGCAGAACAGGCACAGCGGCAGATAATCACAAGCACATTTTCATGGGTATTTTTGCAAGTATTAGTGTTGGTCAATCTAACTAACTGCTCCTCCCTCCCTAACGCTGAGGCATTTCATCCTCTGAAAGAAACGTATGCTACATATGGAGGGGCTGAATATCCACCAGTATTCGGGAAACGCGGTTCCCGTTCATTTGCTCGAAAGTAGTACTAAAACAGTGATTGTAGAAAAGGGTGGAAGGCGGAAAGGACGGACCCCCCCCGGAAATCTCGAGACGTGTGGCTAAGAGAAGAGACATTGGAAGAGACGTGTTTTGTTGGTAGTGTTTTTGAGATCTTTTGCCCTCAATAGTCGTTGTAATGTCCACCATTGTAGGTTCCTTTAAACTTTGTATTTGGCGGGTGCTCGTCTGGCCGGAACTTGCAATACGGATGCACGCATTGGCCATTAATCACACTCGGACACTGGGAAGGAAGTCTTTGTTTAGTAAACAAACATTGAAAGAAAAAAGCAGCTTGGTCTGGTGTGATGGGTTGCCAGAGGGGGCACACTTACATGATGTCCGTAAATGCAATCCTCCACATCACAGTCCTGTCCGTTAGTACATGGATTCAGCCGAGCCAGAAACGCAATGGCGACCTTCTCGTCGTGTGTTGGCCTGTACTTGTGTTCAAAGCAGCACGAGTCGCCCTTGGCGCAGGGGCCGCGAAGATAGTGGTTGTTGCACAGCTTGGTGTTGTCTTTGCGTTTCTTGATGTTGTCCAGCGCCGTCTGGTTCACATGGAGCGGCGTGTCGACTCCACGCGCACCGGGGTTCCAGGGGGCCGGCTTGGACGGCTTGGTTGGGATGTTCTTCGGCGGGATCGGCATGGTGAGCGTCGGAGGCGGGGTTGCGCTAGTAACGATGCCCGCGTACGACGTCGAGTTGTTGGAGATTGAGGCTGGAGTAGAAGACTTGGTCGGAGGGGAGACCATGACCGGAGGGGTGGGCAGTGCTGAGGCGAGTGACCTCTCGACCAATTTGTCGGCGCGAAAGATAGCGTCGTTGAGATTCAAGATATTGACCCCGGTAGCTTGAAGATCCCGGACAGTGGGGAAACCTTCCACAAGGGTAACTCTCTGCCGGGTCTCCTGGTCTCGTAGAATCTGGTCCAGGAACGGTGCATAAGAGGCGTCGTGGGAGATGCCGAGGATAACTTGCTTGCAGTTGTAATTGCCCAAATGCCACCTGGCAGCCTCTGTGTGCACGATGGGTATCAGTTTTCAGATCGAGAGTGCAGGAGCTAGATGAACAAGGGGGGAGGCTAGGATCTTGCCTTTGATCTTGCTATCTGCTCGCTCTTTCCCATGGCCAACGTCGACAAAGTCAAACGAAGCCTGTCCTCGTGTAAAACCAAGAGTAAAGTCTTTAAAGTCCGACTCAATCTCGATGGACCCATCTCGCCTCATCGCTTTCGAAAGACCCGATATATTGGCACAAACCTTGGCCATGACCTCCATCTCCGAGGCATGCTCGCCGCACTGGGCCAAAATTGCGGTTCTGAGTGCGTAGGCAGCACGCTTGCCACCTTCAAGGCCCTGTCGAATAAAAGTGTCCTTGAACTGCATGTTCGGAATGGTGATTAGCCCCAGAGCCCGAAAATCAAGTCGTGAACCTGCAGTCGGTCACTGCAATACTTGAGAGGACGTACAAGGAGACCATCTCCATCAATAAGGATGGCAACATAAGGATTGCGTTGCTACTTTACTATTAGCATTCCCAGCAAACACCAAACAGGGAGGGGCGTGGCGACAGACGTACCTTCAAATAATCAATGTCCTGGGTGACATATCCAACACGCGCCTCAGCTTGACGAAGCTTCTGCTGGAATTCCCGTCGTGACTGGGTGGCGTCGGCAAGGTCGAGCTGGGCATCTTGAAGTTGAACCTGAAGCTGCTCTTTCTCCCTCCGCAACGTCGAAGTGGCAGTATGGCAATGGGTCAAGAGGTCCTGTGTAAGAAGGAACAAGCCGCACCGTCAGATCCTCTCTCAAGCACAAAGGAGCTATTGGGCACCTTGAGGAGATTGGATGATGAGAAAACAAACCTTGATCAAGTCGTCCGAGTTATCACGGACCAGGGTGAGGGCCTGGTACCTTTGAGCAAATGCGAGAAGCTCTTCGTCCGACATGGTGACCAATGGCGACGCCTAAACAAAGTTGTAGAAGAGGAAAGGTGAGGAAATCAACCTTGGAGGTTTGATATACTCGCTGAGCTGGAGCAATAGCCCGCTGTGTGTTAAAAGGACGGGCAAGGAAGGAACGCGAAGGCAACAAATGGATGTTTGCCAAAGGTTGGGGGATCAAAGAAGCTGTTTTCTGCAGCAGGGAAATGAACTGGGTTCAGGGTTCAGGGTTCAGCTCTAATGCAGCAGAGCAAACAGCGCGGCGGCCCGCTCGTTTCTGTTGCTCTCTGTGCAATCTGCAAGCCCGACAGAATCTCCGGTTCGCGGACCACTGTGGCTCAGGTAGCTCCTCGTAGCTTTGGTGCCGGGACTGTGCTTGTCCTAGCAGTCTGTGATTCGAGAGTAGAAATGGGTTTGGATATTCTTGATGAAGATTGATGATGTTTGGACTGGATGTGTAACTGATGGGACTTTGATTTGTGCCTGATGATGGAATAAATATGCGTGACTGGTGCCCCTTGAAATGCACACCCCAATTCGGGAAACCAGACCTTTGTCTCCAGTTTACTGACTTTAGATTTGGGTGGATCTTGGCTGCAATTCTTTCCAGTAGGCAAACAGAAAACTGAGAACCGGAAACTGGAATCCACAGGCTATCAAACCAAGGACTCAAGCAAATGTTTAGAGAGAGACAGAGGGAGAGGGAGAAGAGGCCCGAAGAATGATAAGCGCCCGTCTGCCGTTTAGGAGCTTCACTTGACCAGACCTGTAATTTGACATTTCGAGGTGGGGCTGCTGGGATGAGCAGGCTCAAGCTAATACTACCTAGGTACTTGGTAGGGTGCGGCGCCTGGTTAGGGCCGCGCATTCTTATTTTTGGAGGGTCTGCTTGCCGGGATTACAGGCCCCACAAGGCCAGCCCTGGGGCCAGACACACAGACGGACGGCAGCTCTGCGGGGAAGGAAATAAGAAATCAGCCTAACGGCGGAAGCTTCCAGCTGGAGAGGCGCCCATCTCAATGCTCCATTGGTCTTAGGGCAGCTCTACTTAAGGCTATGTAGTTACCTACCTAGGTAGGTAGATCAGGCTCCCTCCCTCCTCTTCTCTCTGTCGCCCACCCGTCTGCTTCTGTTCATCTGGCACCACACCCAGTTATCTGTGTTGCCGTCTAGCAAGGTGGGTAATTAGCCTCTTACGTGCACCACATCCATGATCGATCTTGGGGAAGAAGAGGGCGCTAAACCCTTGGTGATCCTCCAGCATCACTAAGCGCCGGGCTGTTTTAAGAAACGTCGTGTGGCAGGCAGCGCAAGACTGCTTCTCTCCTCTGATATCTGTCTACGGTTTCACGCTTTCTGGTTTCCGTTTCCTGTAATCTGCTTGCCGCCTCCCCACAAAATCACCCAACACCGAGGCCGACAAAGTAGGCCGCCTGTCTCCCACTTGTCCCCTCAAGAAGCCCTCATCTCAAGGCGGCGTGAACTCGTTGAACAGATTCCAAAGACTGTTGTCGTTGAAGTTGCCGTCAAACTGCCACGGCACTTGTGCAGCTGCCGCATCCGTCCCCAGGCCCGTCGTGTTCCACACAGGCAACGGCTGCTGCGATCCGTCCTCGCTGATGCCCATTAGATCGTTGTACACGAGATCTCCCATGGCATAGAGGGGCTGAATTGACGACCAGTCAAAGTCCGGAGGCAGGTTGAAGTCGAGCCCGCTCCCGTCGCCTCCTAGCTCCTGCTGCTGCTGTTGCGGCTGTCCTGGTGCGTACATGCTGTCTCCGGTGGCGCAATTGGATCCCGCAGGCGTCGTTGACGCCGTGACGTCGGATACGAGACCACCGCTACTGAGACTGCTTCGACCGTTAGAGAGACTGGTGTCGATGGTGGGTGGCGAGACCAGCGCGGGATCCATGGGCACCGGCGCCGAATGGCAAGGCCAATGGCCCTTGTTGCCCAACGCCTTTTTGAGGCGGAGGTAGATAGCATGCAAAACGCTACGCGCCGCTCTGGCAAGCGAGTTCCGCACTGACATCGCCTCAAATCTTTCCACTCCCCAGCCAAAATGCTGTCTCGCATCATCAAGAAGGTCTCCATTCTCGTTAGGGAAAAGGATGTAAATTGACGCCATGAGCACAATGGCGTCAAATGTTCCAAAGAAGAGCGAGAATCTGCACAATGTAAGCCAAGAACTCAAAGTAGCGCCGACTAGCGGTCAGTTTAGAATAAGAAGGAAAAAAAAGTACTCACGTCCTATACTGCTCCGGCTTCAGAGACTGGAACTGGAGTCTCTGCGATTGCAGCATTGACAGACAAGCCTTGAGAGCCTCCCTTCTGCTTGCTTGCCGCGTGAAGATATACGGCCGATGGAGTGCCATAAAGTCAAAAGCAATCACCTGCAGCAGGATCGACCTACACCAAGGGAGCCAGTAGCATTCTGGTGACGAGTCCCATCTCGTATCAGGGTGCTCCATCCGGAGAAACGGCGGGGTCTGCTCCTCCAGTTCAACCAGTATAGCGTGTAACTTTTCAACCTTGGCAAAGCTCTTTGGGCATGGCCCTTCTCTTTCCAGATCGAGTATGTCGCGAAGATAGCCCATCACTCTGCAGGACCAGATCGCCCGGGTTAGGGGAGTAGGCGGGTCATCCTCGCCACGCGGTCGCACCGGTGTCTTGGATCTATTCGTAGGTATCGGCGCGTCGACCGGCATCGTGGCATGGTTCGGATTGTCGACTGTCAGTGGTCGACCCAATACGATGCCGGTGTGTAGATCCCAGCTGACCAGAGTCATCCACATCCTGCGGCGCCGTTGAATCTCCCATTGATTTTCCAGCACCGCTTCTGCTTCGTCACTCTTTGGCTTTGGGTCGAGGCTATCTCGGTGAATGCCGATTTCTTGGGCATCCCTGATCGCGCTCGAAATAGCATGCCACTGGTGGCCCAACTAGTCAGTAAACCGGAACATGTCGGGAAAAGAGGAGGTGGCACAAACTTACGGCCTCGGTGACGTTGGCAGAATACTTCAAGAACTGCACCCGAACAAACCCGGCCAGCACGGTGGTCAACGACATCTGCCTTTTACCCAGAAGCGACAGTATGCCCACCCCGGACTCGCTGTAGTCCATGGCGAGATCCTCAAAGGTCATGTTCGCATTGTACTTTATCGAGTTGTACTCCGGGTCCGGGTCGCGGGGGAGGGCAAGCAGCGACACGGCCAGGACCTGGAAAAGCAGAGCGGGGAACGCCCTGAGGTCGGGCGACAGGCCGTGCGGGCCGGCCGTGGTCAGGAGGTTGAACGGCAGGGTGTTCCACTCGTCCATCTGCGCCATGAAGACGTCCCGGTCCAGCGCGTAGTACTGCCAGTTGAACTCGCGAAAGTACATGTCGACCAGCTTGTCGAGGTACTCGCGCGCCGGCAGCTGGCGTATCAGGTTCTTGTACCGCGCTTTGGTGCCGAAGCCGCCGTTCGGCTGGGCCGAGTCGCCGCCGGGGCCGGGGCCGGCGAGCTGCGCCAGCGACTCGCCCGGGTTTGCCTTGTCGATCTGCTTCAGGAAGCCCAGCGTCGAGGCGCCCGCGTACGAGTAGCCAAAGTCGACGACGTTGGACGGGACGGGCCCGCCCCTCAGGATCTGCTTGGCCTCCTCCGGGCTGGTCGTGGCAGACGCGCCGGTCGGCACGGCGGGTCCCCCCTCGATCGAGTCCTTGCGATCTTGCTTTTTCGCGGTCGGCGCGCCGGTCTCGTAGCGGCAAGCATCTTGCTTATTGCGGGAAACGCAGTTGGCGCAAGGTAATTCGCGATCGCACTGTGATCAAGAAGAGGCAATAGACCTGTCAGTCACGCTCTTTTGGAGAACGAGCAACGCCGGGCATATATACGGCGCAAGATTCCGGTACAGTAGCTCCAGGAATGAACACCTAAACGGACCTTTTGCTTTCTGCGATGGCATTCGGTGCACGAAATTACAATGCGCCTGCGCTTCTTGGGCGGCGGCCGCGAGGGAAGCCCCTCGCTGTCATTGACAAGTTGTCTGTCCTGGGATCCGTCCGGCGGCGTCGGTTCTTGCGTCACGTCATCCGAAGCCGTGGTGGCTGCGGCGGTAGGCTGCGGCGCCATCCTACGGAACGGAGCCTCTAGCCCGATATCCAGCGCGAAGGATTGATTGATTGGCTTGGGAGCACAGGTTTGAAGAATCGTAATGCAAAGATGAAAGCAGCTCAGATTGTATCGGTGTACTTGCTTGGTATGGCTTGGGCAGTCGAGCAAGCTCCTGGCGCAGAGAGGGAAAGGAGAGGAACGAGACAACCGGAGGCCTGTGGTGGGAAACTTATTCGATATCCCCAGCTTGAAGTTGTAAACTCCGGGTGGGGCGCAAGCAACTTCCAGACTTGATGGGCTTCTCGCCTAATCACCCCTGGTGAGTTTAGTGAGCATTGGCTAAAGGAACGCCTGTCAACGTCATGGCTCCCACGCGTAGAGCACCCTTGTGGGGGACGGAAACGAGCTGGGCCATTTGTACAATACAGGTGTGAAGTGCACAACATTGTCATCATAATCAACAACGTGATGTAGATTTCTAGATCCTCCAAATTGCTTCAAAACGGTTCTGTTTCCCCAGCTTTCCTAGCTACAACAATATTGAAGCCATCGCTATCTCCTGTCATGTGTATGTGCGGACGAAACGCCAACGCGAGCGCCGTTTTATCAATGTACAACCCACTGGCCAAAGCTGGCAATCCAACCTCGTCTTTCAGGGGTTTCTGTAGTCATCAAGTACTCCTTGTGGTATCTCTAAATGCTCATCTCCTGTCCCGATTCTAACCCAAGCGCGCCAAGTACGCCTTCCATGCCTTTCGCCTGTACCGCTCTGCCTCGGAAGGAGGGTCTCCTGCCTTGATGATGCCCCGTCCCACGATGACGATGTCGGTGCCACAGAGCCCAATCAACTTTGCAGGCGTGTTGTACTGCTGGCCAAGACCATCGCCGGCAATGTCGCCGTTCTCATCCTCTCCCTCGGGAGGAAGTTTGCAGCCCGGCGTCATGTGGATGAAGTCGTCTTCTGGCTCTGTGTTCAAGCACTCCTGGGCAACATAGCCCATCACAAAGTCTTTGTTCTCCCTGGCCGCCTCTACGCAGGCCTGGGTGTAGCGGTCATCCATGAGGTTGCCCTTGCTCGACATCTGAGCGAGGATCAGGACACCGCGATCAACGGGGGCCTCTTCGATGCCTGGGTACAGTATTTCGTCGCCCTCTGTGAGCGTCTTGCACATCCTGGGCGAGTCGGCGGGCTCGTAGACCTGCTGCGTGACGGTCGTCACGGACACGACGCTGCCTTTCCTGCCATTGCCGTTGTAGGGTTGCCCGGCAGGCAAGCTGTCCTTGGAATCGCGCCGCGGCTGGTCTTCCGGAACAGCAGAAGTCTCCTCGCCGTCCTCGAAACTGTCAGAGACTGGCGTGCCGACAGTGACAGACGTCTTGACCTCGTAGTTGATGCGCTCCTTCCAGGTCGCCGCCGCCTGCTTCAGAGCGCGCACCGTCTCCTTGCCGGCCAGCAGGTTCATGTTTGTGATGTGCGCCCACTCGATGATGCGGGCTGTGCCGGCGGTGTACTGCATCTGCACCGTCTTGCCGATGTCGGTGAGCTTTCGGTCTTCGAAGATGAGGAAACCGTGTTTCCGGGCCAGCGCAGCGAGCTTGGCTCCCGTGCCCGTGTTGGGGTTGTAGTCCCATCCCGAGACGAGATCGTAGTGTGTCTTGAGGACGACAATGGAGGGCCCGACCTTGTCGGCAAGGTTGATAAGCTCGCGTGCGGTGCCGACGTCGGCGCTGAGGCACAAGTTGGAGGCTTTGAGGTCCATCAGCCTGAAGAGATACGCCGACAGCGGGTGCGTAGCCGCCTGCGCCCGGTCGGCGTACGTCTGAGACAATGTGGTATGCCGTGAAGCCATGGCTGCGGGCTGCGATTGTCGAGAAACTCGAGAAATCGAGGAAAAGGTTTGGCAACGACGGGCCCCGTTCTTGGTGGTCCCTTTTGGGGGAGAATTTTCCAGGCCTCACCGCTAGCTGCTGGGGACGAAGGGAGTGTCCGCTTCGGGTGAGGGGGCCTGCAGAAGAACCAACTTGAGAAGGTTTTGACTGATGCGACAAGCGACAAGTGGCTCAGATGCAGCTAGTAGCAAGCTCCAGGTTCGTCTGTTGTCGCCCGCGCAGAGGATGCGCCGCTGGGTTTGCTTTTGTAGTGTGTGTGGTATGATGAAAGCTTGTGAGAATTGGGAAAGTGGGGGTTGGTTGAGAATGGCACAGGCGGCTTGGCTGAGGCAAGGTTCTAGACCCAAGACACGAACCACCACACCACTTTTTGACCGACGCAGGATCTAAGGCTGTAGGGGTAATCCGGAGAGATCTGGGTCATATGCGGGCGAGGAGGTGATCAGACGCTCGCGTCGTCGAACCAGGGCTCGTGGGAAGCGAGAGAGACAGACCACTGAGAATTGGGAAGATTCAGAGAGAACGAATGTGTGTGTGTGTGTGTGTGTTTGTGCGTTCGCGTGTGCTTTTGTTGCTCAGACGAGTGTATCAAGGGGATCTTATAACGTCACAGTCGAGCCACAACATATAAACCGGAGAAGAGAGTAGGTAGATGAGGATTCATGCAGGACGACATTCAGTAGCATCTAAATACCTTGGAGGAGTCGAAGAGACCTCGGAAAGATGGCTGAATGCATGAATGGGGTAGCAGAAGTAGGAGTGGTACAAGTCGTTTGATTAGCCAGGAGTCCGGTCCCCCTCCCAGGAAAAAGAAAGCAGAGGATGAGAGCCGATGAGGGGCTACGGGGGCCTCGCTCATCCTACTGGCAAACACATGTAACTTGTGATGAAATGGCCGTGGAAATTGCATGATGCAAACCACAACCCCCAGGGCCCAACCCCCGAACCAGCCAAGGCACTGCAGTGTTTGACCTCAGGGACCGGCTCCTGGTTCATCAGAGAGAGGGGAGAAAAGCACCGAGTACTCTGTCAAATAGTTACCGTACGACGAGTGACAAACTCTCCCGACCCTGCGCACAGAATTAGCTACGGGAATCGGAAGCGGAAGCGGAACCAAGCGAGCCACATCAGCAACGCAGCGCAAGGGTAAACTTGATCGGCCAGCCCCGTCTGCAGAGAGTGCACACAGTAGTCTTGTCATCAGAGTCAGGATGTGACGGTGGGACCCTGAATCATACCTACCTTGACACAAGCCGACTTTGCTAGAGGCTCTTTTGGGCCCAATTGCCAGCCTGAATGAGTTATCAAAGCAGCCGATCACTGTCGGTGCAGGACGCCATTGCTCGCACTACTGCAGCCTGCGCCTGCGCGGCTATCGCCTAACGACAGAAGATACCTCTTTGCCATCATCGCGCAACTGACCTAGAGGGATCCGGCCTGCACGGCGGGGCTGGTCCGGGGCCTACTCCAGACGAGGCGACGACGATCCCCCCACAACGGCAGCTATTTACAGCTCTCAACCTTGTGCTGGACGAGAGCGTGCGACACAGCAACCAGCTCCCAGCACTGTGATGTCCTTTGTGAGATCTGACAGGCTGGTGCTCGTGCCGAGCCATGGTTGTGATAGCGCGGATATCCAAGCGAGCCTTTCCTGGACGGCTCTAGCCATCGAGACCAGAGCGCTGTACTCGGTCTCGTTCACGGACGATTTCCTCTCTCGTATCCGTTGGCTCCAAGCCATTCCCACAAACCCTGTATCTGTGACGTGTGGCGCTATCAAGGGGGCATCGCTAGGTAGGACCAACTACGCATCATCGCGAGACATGTCGCGAGCAACAGAGAGAGGCCTTGTCATGGGCGTGCATCAAGGGGACTCACAATTTCTAGGCCAGCCCCCTTTTGGTGTCTTATCCCCTCAAAGGGCGACATCGAGGACACTTGGTTGTTGAGGTGACAACCTTGACCATTCTGCCAACATATCCGATAGCAGATGCGAAGTCGTGCCGACCCAGGCCTATGGGTGCGTTTTGGCACCGAACCCGTCTGTTGTGCAACACCCTCAAGTGAGACACCAGGGCCCGAGGGTGCCACGGCTGACCCTTCCCCTGATGAGACTTCTTCAGCCGCGCCTATCACACTGCAGCCGTGTTGAGAGGCCGAAAAGAAGCATGTTCTCGGCCAGTCGTCGCATCTCGTTGACGAGATGATGAGGGGTCGATGTCCACAGTCTGACTTCAACCCGCTCTCTTAGAAGTGACGTATCATTATGACAGTGCCCCGTGGACCCAAGGTAGGCAGTTGTTAGTTCAACGGCAATGGCTTGTCCGGCTCATGTTAGACAGCGAGTCTAGGCGAAACGCCCTAGGGATGAGTGTGTTTGTCCACAGTGGCGTCGACTAGGTGCGATGCCTGAATCATCAGGTTGGGGAGCTTGATCGCGAGGATTCCAGCGAATCCACCCTCCTTTTGGTACAAGTAGGCAATCAGCGTGTGATAAGCCTTGCGAAATATGCACCTACCTACCTAGGTAGGCAGGGTATGATTTCAATGGGGAGAGTGAAATCGTAAATCGACTTGCAAGAGCCTAGAAATACAGCTTGTGTTACTAAATCTCGAGATGGATCACTTCGCTGAACTTAGTAGTGGGCACTGGAGGGACATTCCGGCCTTCCACCCGCTGTGGGTAGCAAGGAATTTAGCAGTCACGGCGCTGTGTTGAGCACTGAATGCCCCGCTGAATCCCAAAATAGTGGTCTCGGAATTTGAATTGAAGCTTGTCTTCCCGCATTAACCAAAGCTCCGACACCCCAGGTGCGAGGCCCAATCAAATTATCATCTCAAACGTGCTCCTAGCTCGAGCTACCCACCTTCCGCATCCACTACGTGCTATCTGGCGAGAGCTCACCCTCTGCGCCATTCTTCCGTGCTCCAAGTAACCATCGCGGATGATGGGATAGTCTGCCACAATATGCGACCATATCTTCTTGCGGCCGCGATTGGCCTCCCATTCGTAACGGCAGTGTTTCGAGACGAGGTTGACGTTCTCGATTTCCACCATGAGCGCATCGGCGTGCCCCAATCCCAGACGACCTTCTTCCACCGGCCGCGATTAGACGACAAGGCGAGCCTGCTTTACACGCTGAGCGACGTTGGCATTCTCGGAGCTGTCAACCCCGGTAACGGCGCCTTAGTATGGCGACAGCAGATCTCCACCAACCTGACCAGCGGTGGTGGACATTTGCGCGCGGGAGAGGGCGAGGGCTGGCTGGCCGGTGCTCAGGGCCGTTCTGTACACTCCTGGAATGCCGTGACCGGGCGCAACGTCTGGTGGCTCGACTTCGATGGTAGCGTCAAGGATCTGGAGGTGATGGAGATGACCGAGAACGCGGGGCGCAAAGATGTTCTCGCCTTGTTCAGTGAGGATGGTGCTACAGTGTTGCGACGTGTGCACGCGACGGAGGGCACCGTGGTCTGGGAGTTCAGGGAAAAGACGAAAGACGTGCCACTACAAGTCAGCACCAACATTGAAAAGGTGTTTGTTGTCAGCTTGCATGGATCTGCAGCTTCCTATAGCCTCAGAGTCACCGTCCTCGACACGCTGACCGGCAAGAAGCTCGACGAGCACCTCGTTGGCACCAAGGGCGAGGTTGGCAGCGAGAAGGATGTTATGTTCGTCGGTGCCAACTCCGCGGCGCCCGTTCTTTCCTGGACTGACGACTCTCTCTCCAAGCTCAGGATCAACGTCCTTGGCACGAAGAAGGTTCAGGAGTTCCCCCTGGAAAAGGGAACTGTCGAAGTTTTGTTTCACGCACCTCACGCTGTCCAAGCCCAAGCCCATTTCCTTGTGCACAGCCGAACGTCGACCGGACACCGAGGGACGGTATATCATATTGATCTCAAGAGCGGATCTATCCAGAAGGCGTACGACTTGCCCCTGGCACCTGGGAAGGGTGCCTTCTCGACCAGCTCGAGTGGTGCAAATGTCTACTTCACCCGTCTTACCGAGGACGAGGTCATCTTGACTGCTTCGACCTCGCATGGAATCCTTGGCAGGTGGCCCATCAAGCCACATCCTCAGGAATCCGTCTTTCTTGATGCTGTTTCCGAGGTCATCAAGAAATCAGAGGACAGCTATGCTGTCCGATCGGCAGCTGTCACGGATTCGAACGACTGGGTTCTCGTTCGCAACGGAGAAGTTGGATGGTCGCGGGCAGAGGGCATGACTGGTGCTGTTGCTGCCGCTTTTGCAGAGATCCCCGAGTCGGAGGACTTCGTCAAGACCTTGGAGGCCGAGGCTCACAGCAACCCTCTGTCGGCATACATCCACCGCGTCAACCGCCACATCAAGGATCTGGAGCATCTGCCAGCTTATCTGAAAGATCTCCCTTCCCGATTGCTAGGCAGTATTCTCGGTACCGAGCTGGCGGCCAAGACTGGCCTTGTTCGTGACAACTTCGGCTTCAATAAGTTGGTCGTTCTCGCCACGAAGCGCGGACAGCTCTATGGCTTGGACTTTGCCCATCATGGAAAGCTGATTTGGTCACGGAAGGTGATCGATCTTCCCCCTGGTGAGGCCTGGGATGTGAAAGGAATTCACGTGGACAACAACAAAGGAGTCGTCACCATCCAAGGAGCGGAGGGCGAGCACATTATGGTCAAGTCGATGACTGGCGAGGAAGTCGACATGTTGCCCAGAGGTGCTTTACGCGATATCGTGACCACAGCTGTTGTGGATAGCCCTTCGGGACAGTGGCTTCTTCCTATCAATAAGGACGGCGATGTCGGCGATATTCCCGTCGCGTTTGCACCCAAGCAGATCATTGTTGTTCCCAATCAGGACGGTGGCCTCAAGGGCCTCAAGTTCTCTGCGAACGGCGAGACCCTCACTAGTGAGACGACGTGGGAGTTTTCTCTGCCAGCTGGTCAACGGATCGTCAACGTGGCATCTCGGCCTGCTCATGACCCTGTGGCCTCGATCGGACGTGTACTTGGGGATAGATCTGTCAAGTACAAGTACCTGAACCCCAACACCATTGTTGTCGCCGCTGTTGAGGATTCCAAGTCGGTGCTCACCATCAATCTTCTGGACACGGTCTCTGGTGAGATTCTTTCTTCACAGACCTATGAGGGAATTGATGCCACCAAACCAATCGAGTGCGCCATTTCCGAGAACTGGTTCCTTTGCACCTACTTTGGCCAGTATGCACTGAAGGACTCTACCCAATCTTTGCGGGGCTATCAGATCGTCATATCAGACCTGTACGAGTCTGAAGAAGTCAACGATCGGGGCCCGCTTGGCAACGCTGCAAACTATTCATCCCTCGAGCCGATTGACACCCCGACGGGGATAGTCTTGCCGTCAGTTGTTTCTCAATCTTTCGTGTTGGGCGCTCCGCTCTCCGCCTTGGCGATTTCTCAGTCCAGACAAGGTATTACTACCAGGAGTCTGTTGGCATGTCTTCCAGAATCCCATGGCATCGTCGGCCTCCCACGGACTATTCTCGAGCCCAGAAGGCCAGTTGGACGAGACCCTACCCCCGCGGAAATCGAGGAGGGCTTGATGAAATACTTCCCTAGCATTGAGATTGATCCGAAACTCGTTATTACTCACGAGCGTGAGGTTATTGGTGTACAGAAGATCCTCACTACTCCGACATTAGTTGAGAGCACGACCCTTGTCCTTGCCTACGGAATCGATGTATTCGGGACAAGAGTGGCGCCCAGCTTTGCCTTCGATATCCTTGGCAAGGGGTTCAATAAGGTGGCACTGATCGGGACGGTGCTTGCCCTTGGTGTGGGTGTGATGTTCCTTGGGCCGGTGGTAAGTTCTCAACATTTGCTGTCTATTGAATGCTCCGTAGAATCAACGCTGACGGTGATCGAATTCTAGGTTCGAAGGAAACAGATTAACTTGAGGTGGAAGGCACCGATGTAGTGCTTGTATGATGATCTGGCGAAATAGAATAATCACACACTTTGTTTTATGATCCATAGGTCCGTCCACTCATAAAGGAAGATGGCCAAGCGAAACTTCCCATGCTTTGACAATCATTGGAACACTGTGCAAGGGGATACTGAACACTGTTTGCTGCAGAACTTGCATCTCCGGGGACCGGGGCCTGGCTCCGATATGCAACAGCGGTGAGAGCGGAGGCTGTGCCCCAGCAACATCTCCTCGCCCCATTGACGAGTCATGCAGGCCAGGGTCATCGACCCTCACATCCTTTGGATGCAATAGATCCTCTAGGGCGAAATCTCGTAGCGGTGTTCCTCTTCATGTCAGTCCGGCGGCCCCACAAGCGTTAAGCTTATCTAGACGACAGTGTCCGTCTCCCTCGGTCCTTGTCTGCCATCCTATTGCTGAACACAGTCAGACTTATCACTTGTCACAATACATTGGGCTCGACAGCTCAGTACTCATATATTTCTGCCTCATCTGGCTCCCAGATCGCCACCTATGACGCGTTTTGCAAAAAGTGAAAGAATGGGCTTCACTCCACGCACGCCACCATGAGTTGTCCTCTCACGATTACGTCTGAGGCACACAGGACTCGCACCATAAATGATGTGCGACGGGAATCTTGGAAGCATGCGTCCCGAAAGGGAAATCAGGTCCTTGGGTTGAGCTGAACCACGCCCAGTCATATTGATTTCTGCCCATCTCGAACGAGACATTGCCCAATGACCTCAATATTTTCTTTTGAAAGCCAACACCAACAGGCTTGCAGCGTTTCCGGTCCGTTGGGACGTCACTGAGCGCCACAATAGGACTTGTAGAACTTGAGTAGCCATTCGTACATGCATATGCGCTGCAGCGTCCCGGTATCCCGCGATCTATCTGATTCGTGTGCTGGATCGAGGCGAGCGCCCCCTTTCGCCTTGACAACGGATAAATGCCATGGGCACCTTGTACAGAGTATCCAAGGTTGTGTTGTATATTAAAAGGCGTAAAGAAGGTTTCAAATCAAATGTATTCTCTCTCCTTGACGGTGTACAGTAAGTCCCGACCAATGCTTTCGTGAAACGGTACAAGCTCAGCACTGATGTTCAACAGCAGACAGTACAATACTAAGACATCCCAAGAAGTTACAAACTTTTCTATCACCTCCACGCCTCCCATTGTCTTTTGCCAAAACGAAAAACGAGCATCGAAGAAACACGGATCGACTCTGACAAAGCAACAAGGGGTCAGCTTGTGCCGAGTACAGCATCTCGGAAAGGGGTTGCATACCTTGAGTGTGCTTATCCTTCCACCTGAAATCGGGTCAGGGCTACATCCTCTTACTGCCCGGGCTTCCCTGGATTCCCAGTATCCCTCGAGCCAGAAAAGTCTCGTACGAAGTTCTGGATCTGAAGTGCGACATGAGGCCTCTGAGTGCCTGCAGGGTTGACAGCCGACCACGGGCCGTGGTCACCCCTACGTTGGTCTCTAACGTATTGGCCAACATCGAGATGCGGCTCCTCGGCTGGGATGGCTGCGTGAGCAACTCGGCCCCGGACTGGCTCTCCAGCGGTGAATGAGCCTGCATTGGCGGTGGTTGAAACATGATCCAGGCCGTCATCGTGTCGGCCGGGAGATCGGGGCCGCGCCTGGGAATCAGGGGCATTCTGGTCACTTCGCGCAGGCCCTGGCTGAGTCGCAGAGCTGGACTTATCCATGTTGGGAAGCGCCTGGGACGGAATGGGGTTGATGTCCTAGTCTGGGGGTTGACGCCGGTGCAAGTTGAGCGGTGACGCCGACGTATCGGGTGGAAGCTATTCTCGTGGAAGTCCTTGGATCTCTAGTAAGATCACTCGATACCGTCCTCAAAGCCCGACCAGAGTCCTCGACGTCCTTTTCCAGGCTGAGGCTCAACGACAGGGAAATGCAGAGAAGGGTGCTTCGAGTTGGCGATGGGCCTCTCTGCGAGCCAAAGGGCAGCGGCATCGGACAAATCTTTTAAATATCACTGCCCGGAGAGGCTCATTCTTCCCGCGATGGCCGCCGACAATGGAGTGTCCACCCCCCCTTGGTTCTGATGCTCTTGTGTTTTTTGCTGGTTGGGCGGTGGGAGCATCAGTCGGCCTCTGCCGATCAGGTCGAGACGTGTTGCCGTAGTAGTCGGACGCCAAATCCACACTGGATCGGTTGACCGGCTGCATGGATTTGTCCATCTACTAGGCTGTCACGTATGAAATCCAGTCATCTGGTAAACCGGAAAGACAATGAATGGGTAGTCGAGAGGCATGGGGAAGTAGCGGTGAGTCTTCAGGCTCTTCGTCCGCCATGATATTATTCGTTGTTATTTGGGACAATCTTCGATGTCGGGCAGGGTGTCCATGGCCGAGAAAACAACAAGCCCATCCTCGAGCGGACAGCGGATGCCATGGACTCGGCCAGACCGGCCTGTGTCTGTCGAAGAAAAGAGCTAGCTTGGCTCTGTTTTAAAGTCGCGGTGAGCATTCTTCATGTTGGCAAGTGCATCGAGCCAGCGAATGAAAGCTTGGGAGCCTGCAAGTCAGCCCTGAAATGGATGGCGCTCTCAGGGGCCGGGCCTGCTTCGATGGCCTAGTGATCTTCCTTCACTTCAGAAAGAGCTGCTTGGGCCGACACATACCAGCGCTGGGTCGGATGTGCGAACGGGAGGACTTGCCCCGAGCAGCTGTCAAGGAGCCGATCTCACACTGCATAGGGGGCCTCGGTGCTCGTGAAGAGTTGAAAGGAGCAGAGTGCCGTCTAATCGTTCAGGCAGAGCCGTCAAATACATGATCCAAGATGGTCAGAGAGGTCGGGCTATCTACTTTTACACCCCCACTGATGCAGATGTCAGTCCCAGTTGTGTCGGGAGCTAGGGAGCTGCCGCCATGTCGACACAGCAGCCTTTCTACCAGTAGCGGGAATGGGCATGCCCATGTGTTCCGCTAAGCGGTTTGTGCAGCGGTCGGTAGAGCTGGAGGCAGGCGACCAACTGCGTGGCACGGAGAAAACGAGCCGGCGGCATGCAATACCCGTGTCAAAAGGACCAGCAAGACCCTCTACAACAACATTGAGATACCGAGCTGCACGACAGACGTATGCAAGTAGGGTTACTTCATCCCATTTCCGAGTGCGATTCTTGCTGCAAGTAAAGCAATTTCGGCGAGAATATGGCAGTCCGTCCAAGACACGCCTAGCAGTCATGAGGCCGTACATCAGCTTGCCTGCATGAATTGTTTCGTCGCCTGAGACCACTGAGGCCTGCTTGTCACTTATCAGATCCACATTGAGAAATATAACGCAACGCAAGACCATGGAGTAACTCGGCATGATCTCCTCGTGTCGGTTCGCGTGTGGGGGTTAGTGGGAAGCAATGGACAAGCAGTTGGAGGGTAGGGAGATGCGGAGGTACTCTCGCGAGCAAGTCAGGGACGGTGAGAATCAGCCAACGTCTTTCACCCTCTGTTCCACACCGCTTAAAAGCCACATACTAGTTCTTACGTCAATATGTCTCAAGATTCAGTACGCAAAGCAGTGCACCCTCCCAAGTCTACCAAGACAATACATCAAATCGGTGATAATGAGGGTGTGGTTTCTCCGCAACACATGCTACATGCCAAGATCATGATCGAAGCAGAACACCAATAGCGCACGGACATAGGAACCGAAAGGCCTGGTCTGCAATCCAAGGGAATCCTTGCTCAACATGAGTCCCAGATCTCCATTATGCAAGTAATTAAACGAGGTGATGATCCGGATGCATTCCCCGCATGGGTTCAAACTAGTTAGCCTGTGACGCAGGGGGACGAAAAGGGATGAAAGCCCGCCAACACGAGATACACACACACACACACACACACACACCTACACACACCTAAGCTCCATCAGTCTCTCAACACTACATAAATACATGACCCCCACCTCGCGGGCCGTTGAGCGGGCTTCCCGGCCCAAAACTGAAAACCAAGCAGTAAAAAAAAAATAAGCGAAGCCGGGGGAAACGGCTTGCGCCGGGAACCTGACATCGGCATCCCAATTATGGGATTCCCGATCCTGGTTGTCGGCTAGTTGCATTCGTTCATTTCTCCTCTTGAGAGATCCGTTGGTATCGACGGGAGTGACATCGATGAGAGTGACATCGACGAGAGCAGATCATGGCGATCAACAAATCGCAACGTTACAGGACACGGGAGTGCCTGCAGGCCCTCAGGTGGTCTGGGCTTGAGATAAGTAGGAGGCGCCGGCAAGTCGTGAATGACAGCACCAGAATCGGCATAGACTGTGAGAAGTGCTTCCTGTATTGGACGAGGTTGTAAGGATGAGGAAAAGCCATGTAGCCAGGCACGGCCACAGGTTCTCCAGTCCCCTTGTGCCATGGCTTCTTGTTCCGTGGCCAGTCTCGAACGACAATCTGTGACAGTGATGCTGTCTGGCAATCATCCATTGAGATGGTTGAAATGGCTTCCGAGAGAAGCTTGTATGTCTTCTCTGGCTTTCTTCTTGTGGGCTCGCTTGGACTTCTTGGCGTCCTCTGTCTGGTGCTGCCGTTTTTCGTGGGATGTCTGCACTTCTCGAACATACTGTTCAGTGCGATTGTTGTCTCTTATCCCTTTGGACTTGGTCTGTTGTTGCTCGCTTACTTCTTTCGAAGACTCGCCGCACGTGGATCTGCACACGGATTGATCAGCATGAGACAGTCTTCCACGAAGGTGCAGGAACTTCTTACCCTCGTTCCACACGCATCGATGAGGTAGATGACGTAGACTTGCTCATTTTCTCTATGCTTGAGCTCCTTTGGAGCGTGGATACACTTGTTACGGAAAGTCCGATATTTGATTTTGCATTATCAGGATACAACGTCTAGATGACCTCCTCTCCTAGACGATGTTTTGATTTTATATGTTCCTATTTGTACACGAGAAGATGCATCCTACGCGTGATGTGGCACCTCTTTCATTCTGTTGGGGCATACGCTGGTGAGCCTATACAAGCCTCACCTCATGTAGTTGTGGCCAGGATTTCTCCTTCGTCAAGGTGTCACACCCGGGCACTCATGTGTTGGCATTCTAATTATACCATTACTGGCTGGTGGAGAGTTCATCTCTTACATTGAAAGCATCACAGCCACTAGGCCCTCTCAGGGAGTGTATAGGGAAGTCCAGATGTTTACCGCCTGCCAAGGCTTCGTTCAGGGACTCCTTTTCCCAGCATTCACTCCGCACCCGTCTAGTCAGTGCCCTGCAGCTGCCAAATTTACCCCTGGTAAGACTAGGGCCCTCCAGCACAGCGATACTTGCGGGGTTCTACAATAAAACCGACGACGGTTGATCCTGGAGCAAGAAGAGGCCACGATGTCCAGCGTATACTCTGACACTCATTCTGGATTTGACTTCGAATTAGACTAGAATATCAAATTTGATGCGGTATGCATGCTTCATACGCTTCAATTCCTGGGTAGTATCGCCTTGCAATGGGTGAATGGGACATGGAGTGATTTGATGCTGCATGCTATTGCCTATCACCGTCAGTCACCCTACAAGGCATATTTAGCCCGCTGATCATCCATCCTCTCTGTCTGTACATTCAACCTCTCGCCTCACTTACTTCTTTGTGGTCCGGGCCCCTTCGTTCGTTTTCCGGACTGACATATTCACACACGAGCTCGGCTTGACTATCAAATGCATGTGATTATGCTGCCTGCACTAGCCTTCCCACCCCCTAATCTCATCGGTTACTTCTAACAGTGAGTGAGACTCCCCTTCGGAATAGTATATCTTGCTCTTTCGGTGAAGCGTTACCTATCACCTACACATCATACACAGCCCTACAAGCGACATATCCTTGACCCATGAATGCCTCCTCGTCCAGTGAGCAAGAAGGGGCTATCTAGCCCAACTGTCGATCACTGCGATTACAATGCACCTGCATACCCGCACACGTGTACAGGTCTCGACGATATCCAGGTTTCTGGTGCCCTAATTCTGATGCATATTAGGCAGCGAGACCCAGAGGAGGGCAGCATTCCACAGCTCTCTATCTGCGCCAGGAGCACTCTGACTGTGTGATGCACCACTTTTATCGACTGTCTAAATAACCCAATCTAACATCGGCTTGCAACTGTACTTAAAACTGTCACATGATGCAGACTTGTAACCAAGCCGACAGTTGCAGTCCTATAGTCTGATGTACTAGCTTCTCAGTTCACGGAGTTGGACAAGATCCACTGGCTCTTGAACTCAAAAGTCATCATATCAGGTAAATACATCCCGAATTTTTTTTATTTTAACCATAAACGAGATGCAGAATTTAGAATCTATGAGGTGTCAGTTCCAACTATTAAATTGTGAGAGAGGCCATCACGGAGAACTTTACCCAGGTGCATCTATAGTCAGAGGAAACTAAAAGTGCAACATATACCTTGATTGAGAGTAGACATATCCTGCTGGTCTCGAGTCACGAATAATGGGAGACCATTGACTTGTAGAACTAACTATATGTGTGAACTAGACATCTATAAAACAAGGAACTCAAAACGATATTGAGTTCTACAACGGTTCTCAGTGAATATTCAATGTTTTAGACCTCGATTTCTTCGTAGACTAGAATATCATCCCTAGAAGCATTGGCTTTAGCCACATCTTCATTGTTGTCCACTTGGTCTTCATGGTACTTGATCTATGGGAGGGGCCTGCTGGCAAAGCAC